TTGTCTTGACTGATTAGTTGCACTAGTACATTTATGTATTGAACAGGATCCCAGAGAGGAGAAGTTCATTTTATACTGATCGTCGTAAATGAACTAGGTCTCGGTTAATTACTGCGTTCTCTTAACCCGTAAGATATTAAACAGGCAGATATATATAATATATATTACTTTGATTCACATGGGTGAAGTTCAGTTCGCTGGATTAATATTCCTACTGTTTTGGGTAATATTATTATATATAGGATGTGCTGTTAGGATATTTACGGTTAACATGTGCGTTAGTTTGATGATGTCCCCGGAGTGAGTTCATGAAGGATTGTTATGCTAAACCCTGCAGGTGGATTAAATTCCGGCATAATAAGAATGTGATGAACGAGCGCTAGCTTCAGTGAAATAATAATAAATTAATTAATTCTTGATTGTCAGTAATCGAATTAATTAATGGACATTATATCTTAAACGTGGGGAGGTAAATCGAGTAATTATTATTGGAGTCTCAAATGTAATTTGGGCTAGAGAAAGGGAGTGCAATAATATAATGTTGGTGGCCCATTAATATTATTTAATTAATTAGAGGAGTGGGTTTGGCCCACAGTTAGTCTAATTAATTAAGGAGCCCTTTTCCTAATCTCCTTAGGGTCCCTACTGTAGCTCTATATAAAATCTCATATTCACGAGATATACACGCCCCACGCGTCTCTCTCTAGATCTCATTCGAGCTTTATCTTCTTCTTGTTGCTCCACTGGTACAAGTTGAAGAAGGGTGTATTGAGTAATACAGTAGAAGATCTGTAGGTAAACCGAGATGAAATAGATTTTGACCTACAGAACTAACCGGAAGTCCGATTGAGACGTACAGTATACCCAGACGACCGTCTCGACGAGGGCTTTCCATCGCCGCCGACGTCGCCGAAATCCGACGCCGCACGCGCCCCCACGCGCCGCCGGAAAGTGCCAGGCAGCAAAATTTCGTTTTGATCTGTTTGCATCCGTTTGATCCAGTTTTGATCTGATCTTGTTCGCGCAACCCAAGACGTGATTTGCGGTCAATCAATTGCGGTCAACCGTTCGTGGTCAACCAGATCTACATAAATTTTAAGCCGTAAGTTCTCTACGTCAAACCTTTAGATCCGCTGCGCATAGGTTTACGTTTGCTATTGAATTCGTGATTTGTACATAACGAGATCCTCACAGATCCCAACACTTTCTTGCTGCTAGTTTAGTTGTTCTTTCTTGCTGCTAGGTTAGTTGTCTGATGCTAACCTGGTACCTCATGGAAGCAAGACAAGTAATGCAACCACTACACCACTCAAGGTTGAATGTTTTTTGTTGCTAGGTTATTTATTTCAATGCAACGGGTCAACGTCGGAAGTCAACATTTCTTGCCGGAAGTCAACGTTGGAAGTCAACGGTCAACGCCGGAGTCAACTAATAATTATTTTATTATTTAATTAATGTATATTTTAATTGATTTTGATCTAGACAAAATGAGTGACTAAGATTGAGTCTCACGTACTCATTTTAAGGAATGGTCTCATTAGATCCATCCCCTATATATATATAGAGAGAGATACATGGATGTGGGTTGGATAATAAATACAAATTTGCCTTTTAAAAAGGACGGAATAATAAAGTCCCGTGCCGGGTAGTATACTAGTATATATAGAGAGATATATGGATGTGGGTTTTTTTTTTTCAAACGGCAATTATATTAATAACTAAAAAACTCAACATAGTACAACCGAAGTGTCAAATGACACACTGGAACCAGAAGACTGGACCAACCCCTTGTCATCACACGCAAAGGGTACAAACTCCATCAAGGAGACAAACAACTACAAAACAACACTCCAAAAAGCAGACACAGCTGCACTAAAAGCAGACGAAGCTGCACTGAAAGCAGACGAAGCTGCACTAACAAACCAACAAAAACAAAAAGGAAACAAAAACATAAATGAAAGAAAAACAACACACCTAAAAACATATACTAATAATAAAACCTCCCCCTAATCCAAGCAGTTGACCTACATAACCAATCAAACTGGCAACCGAGTCCCAAATCGCAACAACGAAACCAACAAAGCTACAGATCAAAACCCCAAACCCGAAAACTGCGGCTGAACACGACCCGCCTAGACAGATCTGGCTAGAAGTCTGTTCTTAGTCCGAATCTGAACTCCGTTGGACTTCATCACCGGGAAAGAGAGGAGGAGCCGCCACGAAACAAACCAGTGTCTCGGAGACATGACCCACAGAGGCTCCGCCCAAGTAGTCCCACAGTCTCGCGATCCGGCAGCCCCGCAAGCCGGCAAATGGGCGGATCAACGGGCCACCCGAGACTGAAGACCGACAGGCATAACCCTCCATAGATCGGAACTGAGACGCAGGAGACCATATCCACCGGCTTTTCAGCGAACACCCACGACAAGATTCGAGAACCACAACGGACGGCGACCCCCTCCGAAGTCAAGGAGATTGACGGAGCGGCAAGACTCGCCGCTCGCCAAAACACCCGTCAGACTCGAAGGGGGCAGAAAAGAGAATCCTGACCGTGACACGGCGAAGGCCTGCTTGCTGGTTGCGGAGGATCGCCGGAAGGAAAAGGAGGGGGCGGCGGCGTCGATTAGGTTTTAACTTTTAGGAAAAAAGGGGCTTTTTGAGAGAGAGAAATTTTGTTTCTGGAATTAGCTCAAATTATAAAGGCTTTTTGGATGAGTAGTTTTTTGCTTTTGTTTTGTAGCAACTAATGATGAAATCCAATGGTTACAATTTCACAGTAGAGTCCACTGTGTAGCAACTAATTATGAGTGTGCACCGCAGGCACCCTCAATCCAAAATTTTCACCTCCTCCAAATTATTCAAACAGTGACTCTATCATCCTCCCATCTCGACGTCGACGTCGGCCACATCTTCCAAATTATTCGCCAGATCCAGGTCTTTCCCACCGAGACAGTTTAATCCTGTTTGAAAGCACATTTTCACTTCACTTTGCAATACCCAAAAGAGGCGCAACGATGGCGTTGGCCGTCTCTACTTCATCTGCCGTTCATGGCTATTCCTTATCCTCAGCTCTTGGGCTAACCAAAGGTGCCGTCTTTTTCTTGCCCAATTCGTTATTTTGTTCAATTTTTAGTTTTGTGGTTCCATGTTTTCCTATGCGCCGTGGATAACAGTTTTCTGGTCCTTCGCTACAGCCGCACAATTCGGCGCTTATCAGCGGTTGTGTTGGCCTCGTCTCCGATCGACGTCCCTTAATTTCTCTGAGCGGCGTTGTACCGTGAAGCCATTCCATAAGCTGTTTGTCTTAATCTTTTACACTAAGCTATACTCACTCTACATAGTGTGTGAATTTACTTGATGTTTTCTCGTTTTGAATTTATACCCAATTGATTTAACGCAATCTGATTCTGAATACAGAATCAAGTCAATGGCGGAGGGGCTAAACGCGGTTGTTCCAAGTAACGAGCTTTTGGAATGGCCGAAGCAGGACAAGCGTCGTCTTTTGCACGCCGTGTATCGTGTGGGAGACCTTGACAGGACAATCAAGTATTTTATTTTATTTTTTTTTTATGCGTAAAAATATGCATTTTAGGTGAATTATGAATTTGTGATGCAGCTTGGTTAAATTGTCTGACCGCATTGCTTGTTCGTGTATTTTTTTTTATTTTTTTTTCCCCATAGGTTTTACACTGAATGTTTCGGGATGAAGCTCTTAAGGAAAAGGGATATTCCGGACGAAAAATATTCCAATGCTTTTCTTGGGTTTGGCCTGGAGGACTCCCACTTTGTTTTAGAGTTGACTTACAGTATGTTGAATTTTCATTTTTGTTGATGTTTAGCTGTCTTAGCTACTCTATGTCATGGTTTTATTGAGTGTGTATTGACCTTAAAAATTGCATTGGCTCTCTGTAAGTTGCTAATATTGATTTTCACTTTAGTAGTACTCAGTAGGTATAAATTGTATGCAATTGAACCATACGCGCAATCATTCCCCTTCTCATTTACCCCTTATGTTCATCCACCATCTATTATGGGGGCTTACATACACTTCGTTTGTATCTAAACTAGCTACAGTTCTAAAATCGAGGTAAAGAGAAGATTTTGAGTGACTGTTAACCAGTTGAGTGTGTATGAGACACTGAAGCCTGTCTAATTAGGCCTCTCCCTACTTTTGCATGATCTCTTGATCCATTATTTGTATTTGCTCTTGACATTCTTCAGTGCATCAAAAACAGATTATGGGGTCGATCAATATGACATTGGAACTGGCTTTGGACATTTTGCCATTGCAACTGAAGATGTAAGCAAGCACTGATCAGTGTTCTGTTTTTTCCGCTTTTCCTATTTGGTTAATGCAAGCTATTGTATGTTTGCCCAGAAGATGAAACCCATTTTGTTTTTTTCTCCTGCTCTTTTGTTTCGTTACCTAAGGTTTACAAATTGGTCGAGAATGTAAAGGCAAAAGGTGGTATTGTCACTCGAGAGCCGGGCCCAGTTAAAGGTGGAAAGTCTATTATTGCCTTTGTCAAGGATCCAGATGGCTACCTTTTTGAGATAATTCAACGTGGGCCCACACCTGAACCTCTCTGCCAAGTGATGCTTCGTGTTGGTGATCTGGAACGTTCTATCAAATTTTATGAGAAGGTTGTCCTTTTCTTTAAGGACCGTTTTATCATATTCACACTGAATAAATGGCATAATAGCTGATTTCTTATATTGTTTTTAAATCATGCAGGCACTAGGAATGAAACTACTGAAGAAAACTGACCGTCCTGAACAAAAGGTAATTAACAGGATGAGATTTTGATGAATATCAAACTTTATGGCTTCTCTAAATTCTTTCCATTTCTCGAATTTCTTGCAGTACACAATAGCGATGTTGGGATATGCCGAAGAACATGAGACCACTGTCTTGGAACTTACATATAACTATGGTGTCACTGAATACACCAAAGGAAATGCATATGCACAGGTTAGCTTAATAAAGCTTTTAGTTAACAACATTCTTCTCAGAAATCCATATTTCCAATTTTATCCTCATTATGGATGCAATATCTTCTTTGGTTACAGGTTGCAATTAGCACTGATGATGTGTATAAGAGTGCTGAGGTTGTAAAACTTGTGACCGAGGAGCTTGGAGGAAAGATAACTCGACAGCCAGGCCCGATTCCTGGAATCAACACTAAAATCACTTCTTTCTTGGATCCAGACGGGTGGAAAACGGTAACTCTGCAAGCCCGAAAAGTAACATTGTGATTAATTGTTTCATATATGATGTTAAATTTGGGGAAATTCCATTACAAGACTCAGAGTTTTTGGAATGGTATCAATTCAAGGTCTGAATTTTATTTTTTTTCTCAATATAAGGTTTACATTTTAGGTTATTCTCAATTTAAGACTCACTTTTATATTTGACTTCTCAATGTAAGACACAACTAACTTTATTTTATAATATAAGTATGTGAACCACAATATTTTTTTTTTTTATAATTTATATTTTACATACTTATAATGAAAAATAATAACGTCTTTAGTAAAATTACCTTACTGAGAAAATGAATCTTTATAAATAAATTATGAAAAAGTCTAATAAAGATTATTTTAGAAAATTGATAAGTGAATTCAAAAAAAAAAAATATGTAATTTGAATTATTTGTATTAATTATATAAATATGTAATAAAATTAAGAAATAATTTTTAAGTACGGTTTTCGATTTCCTTTTTTATTATTTCACTTTAAAACTTTTTATTTTTATTGCATATTTTATTTTTTATTAATTTTTTTTACATATTTATATATTTTTAAATTCTCTTACCAATTTATTGAAAAATAAAATTTATTAATTTTTTGCGTAAATATAACTTGTATGGACTAATTTCCTCATTTAAGTTAATTGTTAATTGTTAATATTTTTGATATCAATATGTAAATATAAATTATAAAAAATAATGGTTTACATATTTATGTCAAAAAGTAAAGTTAGTTGGGCATTATATTGACAAGTTAAATAAAAAATGAGCCTTAAATTGAGAGAATAAATTGAAATGTAAACTTTTTATTGAGAAAAAATAAAATTCAGGCGTTAATACAATTTCAAAAAGTTGAGTCTTGTAATGAAATTTCCCCGTTAAATTGCCATGTTCCATTATTTGTTGAACTTTATAAACTAGTTCTATGTGCTGTGTTGGTAATAATCCATTTGGTGAAGTTATTGACAATCTTGCTCATTAATCTGGTTTGAGTTGACAAAAGAATTCCAACACTTCATCTTGTTTTGTACAATGGTTAGGTAATCGATTTATCCGTGCTTGAATCCTCTTTGTAATGGACATTTTTCCTTCTATGTATACGTAGGTTTTGGTGGACAGTGCAGATTTTCTGAAGGAACTTGAGGGATAAGAGTGGTTGGAACCAATAAATGGTGGAGATCTTATCATCGATAAATTGATGTACCCGTTTCTGGTTAATCGGTCATAATAATGAATAAGCCTTAATAGCTCTTTTGAGTATGAAGTAGAGTCTAATATTTCATATTCAAGGCACTCTTTTTTGTATTAACTCCAAGCTAGTACAACACTCGTGTACTACATAGGTACGGGTGTTGAGTTAAAAAAATATATTATAAAAGTTATTGCTAAATAAAAATTTTATTTAAAAATTTTGATGGACTAATTACTGAAAAAAAACAGGAATAGACAGTGCAGAAAGTGATTTGTAAATACTAAATCGTAATTTATGAGAGAAATATGAGAGAAAATTATAAGATGGTAGGATTGCTACTTGTCCAAATTAAGAAGGAAATTTGTACTAAGAGAAAAAAATAACAAAATTAAATGTACATTTATCAAGTTTGAAAAAAGTTATTTATGTCTATACCAAGCTTAAATCTAAAGCAAAAAATTAATATACAAACAACATTCTGAAACATGGATTTATGTTATGTCACCATCCTAAGCGTGTGGGTTTGCCACTTAGATTCAACACGTTTTGAATTAATATATAGGGAGGGATTATGCTTAGTATAAGCCATAACTATAATGGAATGATTGGTATAATTAAATGAAATTTGATAGGAATGAAATGAATTGCAGAATGGAATGAATGTGGGAAATGAATGAAATAAGTTTTTCCATTCATGTGTTTGGTATACAGAAGGGAATAAGACCTGAATGAAATGACATTATCATGTATTACCTTCTTATAGAAAAATATTAATATTTATACTAATGTTTTTTTATTTATGATAATAATAAAATTATTTTATGTCTTGAAAAAATATACTATATTTTAATATATTTTAATAAATATATTTTTGTATTATTACACTCATATATATTATGTAATAATTAGTGAATTGTGTATTCATATACATATTAACTAATACAACTATATCATTAAATAAATCCCTATAAACATATGTGGTCGAATGTAATTTTTCTATTTTATAATTTAGTTTATGAATAAATATATAATGTATATGATGGATAAAATAAAATAATATCTTTTTAAATTATTTATAAATACATTTCTTAGTTTTAATTTTATATAAGTATTTAATATATCTAATTAAAATATGAACAATAAATAAAAATAAGTTTTTAAGTTTTTTATATGAATTTTATTTTTTAAATAATTTTATTTAATATAATTTAATCATAATTTTATTATATATTATATATTTATTTATTATTGTTATTTGTTAATTTATTTATTTTTTTTAAAAAAAATTGATTCCTACAAATATGGGAATGAGCAAAACCTTGTATTTGTGATGGAACGGGTAATCACATGGAGATGATTTTTGCAATTCCCATTGGAATGACCATTCATTTCAAACAAATATACCAATCAAGGGATAAGGAATGAGTAATGGAATGATCATTACATTCTCATGTCATTCCCTCATACCAATCATGCCATAAGGTGCTTATGTAGTTATGTGTAGAGTGTAGTTTTGTTGGTGTAATTGATTTTGATCACACTAGTATGAGTCTCGTGCAGTGCACAGGTAAGAGATAGTCATTAATATTTATAAATTAAAAATTCGTATTAAATAATATTTATAAATTAAAAATATGGAATCAATATATAATATAATTTACCTATATTAATTTATTGAAAATGTTATATAAAGTTTAAATTGTGCAAAATTACATAAAAATGTCTACTTAAAATTAGTATTCAACCCGTGCGGTACACATAACTGATACTCCCTCCTATTCATAATAAGTGTCAAGAAGTTGCACAGTAATTAAGGATATTTTTTTGTCAATAATAACCCTCTTTAATGAAGATAGAGAATGATGTTTTGGGAAAAAATGAAGAGTGAATATGAAAAGACGTAGTGTATTTATTAGCTAGATGAGGGTAATAATGGAAAAATATGTACAAAAGATCCAAAACGACATTTATTTGAATAATAGTTGATAAAGCCAAAATGACATTTAAAAAGAATAGAAATTAGTAATAAATTACACTATATTCATTTCAAAATAAGTATCATTTCAAAATTTTATTCAAAAAATTCGATTGACTATATGTGATTCCATAAAATAGTTATTTTGATAAAATGTTATCATATACTTAACAACCTATGTGAATAATAAATATAAATATAAAATTTATATTGTTTCATTACTTAAAATAATTTATTATTGTATAAACTATTCAAATAAAAAAAATAAAGTAGTTGAGTAATTTATAAACAAATAATTGACTATTTTGTTTACGTTCAAGTTAATATTGACCGTAAGTTATGGGAGTAATTTATTAAATTATAAATAATTGACTATTTCGTTTACATCCAATTTAATGTTGACCCGTAAGTTATGAATAATTATTTTTTACTTTGAAATTTAAATAATTTTTTATTGTTTTTGTTCAATATATTATATACCAAATTTAAACCATGCAACTAATAAAGGTAGCTACAAGTTTTGTTAATATATTATATTCCAAATTTAAATCATGCAACTAATAAAGGTAATAGTCGCAATATTTGACCAAAATGATTCTGTACATTAATTTAGGCGGAATTTTTTAAATTTTGGCAAAAAATATTACTCAATATAGTAAATACTTTAGGCGGGAAACCAAATATTTTTTTGTTTATTTTTAGTTGCTATTTTAAGTAAATATCATTGTTTCTTTATATATTAATAGCTTTCAGTTCAACATATGTGTTGCAAAGAGTTTTAGATACCAAAAAGGTCCACAAAAATATCGTTTCTGCCGATCTCCAACCAGAAACTCCTTTTTCTCCTAGCATTTACTCTACAATTTATTCTATTTCTGCGGTTTATTGATTAATGATAATAAATCTGCAAAAATAATGAAGAAATTTATAGAGAGAGAACAATAGAAAAGTATAGCTAGACGATAAAATAAAAAGTACACTCAAAATCAACATACAGTATTTTTATAATACATACTGTAGCTATATGCTATTTATTACTGCATACTACACTATAAGTAGGAGATATGGGCTCTGTTTAACTACTAGCTAATAACGGATAACTATTGTATTAGCAGATAATTAGTAAATTATAATAGTTTATTTGACTAAAGATTGTGCTGGTTGTTTGTATATAATTGTTTTAAATAGTGGATTGAATAACTATTTTGAAATGTGAAAATCTGATGTTTTGACATGTTATTTTCCAAATTTTCTCTTTTCAAATAGCTCCTATAGTGAGTTTTTTCAGAATTAGCATTTTGAGCTAATAAAAGCTAATTAAATAAGCTCTTTGCCAAACAAGTTAATTTGACGAGTCAATTCTCTAAATAAGGTTCAATTCACAAACTTTATATCAATCCACTAACAAGCTTTATATTAAAATCCGCTAAGTCCCAAAACATGGTTATGTAGAGTATAAGAGCATCTTCAATGGCATATTGTTTATTTTATGGTGCATGGCTTGGAGAAAAGAGATTAATAAATTGTGCCTCCAATGGTTAATGTTAAAGGTAATTTAATTTGACATGTGTAAAATTATAATTGGTTGAAGAAGAGAGAAATTGAATAAATAATATAATATATAATAGAAGTTGTTTAGAAATATTTTACATCTAAAAAGACTACTAGAATGTTTTTATGCCACATAGATTTTATGCTATATGGCAACAAAATAGAACTATTCAAAAACCAATGAAGATGTTCTAAATAGTTCCTCTTCTATGCGCTGCCCTACTTATATAGTTATATATGGAGTATTATTGTGCATATATACATTCAAGATGCGAGGAGTTCCCCTAGAACGGGTCGTAGTTGTATGTGTAGTAGTTAGATAGAAGGAAAAACTTAATATATAATTAAACTTATATACACATAGCACTTAAAAAAAATATATAAGAAAGTTTATGTATTCTCAAATATCATTCTACTTTATTTCTGAGTTAAAACAAAGAAATCATGAAGTTCTAAAAAGGAAAAACAAAGAAACAAAAATATTAAATGCGCGAAAGAGATGTACACGTAAATCCAGGCACACAAATAATCGGGCAGCCACAGAAGTACGTGAAAATCGCTCTGCATCAATTGTGTACATGCCCAGTAGAAACGTCAATCACATCTGTTTACGAGAAGGAACCAAGTTTATGGATTCAATTAGTTTTTATTTGGTTTTTTTTTAATTATAGTTAATTTTGAAAAAATGTGGTATAGTTAATTGTTAGTGAATATACTAAAATAATATTTAAATAAAATAATTAAAATTAATTTGATGTAAACTAGAAGAAAAATGATTGGAAATAATAATTAGTTAAAATTATGTAAGTTATGAATAGTGAATTAAAGTTGATGTGATGAGTAAGAATGATTTGTTGATATTATTTAATCATATTTGATAATATGGAAGATAGTGGGGTTAGTTAAAGTTAAATTAAATTTGAGTTTTGATTGATTTTTTTTATTGTACAAACAATAAACAATCGCCCCAGAAATTCACATCAATCTAATGTTAGAAAAAACAAAACAAAAAACAAAATGTACAGTATTTTGTGTACTAAGAACTTGATACATATATTATTTTTAACCGAAAATCATCTAATGAATCATACACAACCCAGTTGTTCAAAAATCCAAATAAATCTCGCTTCTAAAATGATTTTGGTACCAAAATGAATCCCACAATGTTTCCTTGCTCCACAAATATGTCAGAACTTGCATCTTGAGAATGATCTGCATTTCCAAATAGGTTTGATACAATTGAAAATAATAATAATAAATATATATGTGTATACAATCTACTCGATCCAGGCATGCTCTCTTTGAAGTGATTCAACTAGGACTCTGAATATATATGTTGTATTTACAAACTTGATTGTTTGTTTCTTCTGCCTGCTGAAAAGCCCAACTCAATTTGTCGGACAATAACTCAACATGCACTCATCACATCCGTTCACTGCATTGTGTCCATTGGATAGCATCCAAGGACCCGAATAAACCTTGCAAATTCCTGTAGGATCAAGACACAGAACATAAGTGTATTGATGATATAAGATTCTTTAAAGAAAAAAAAAAAAAAAATGTTCCGCCTGAAAAATGAGATGAAAGAAAATGAAAAAAGTTGATTTCAGAAGAAGTGAGAAAAATTTCAGGTTGTGAATGGATATAAGAATAATGAAATATTGATTGATAAGGTTGGTATTTAGAAATATGTGAGTGGATCAATAGAGTTTTTTGTTTGTTAAAAAGAAGAGATAAAACGAATAGTATTTTTCGTGAAGAAATGTTGTTTCATTTTTCGGTGAGATAAAACTTGGCTGGATAAACAAAAATGATTGTTTTTTTAAATATCCATTCACAACCTAAGTTGTCTTTCTTATCATTGGATTTGAAGATTTAATTTACGGCAAAAAAAGGGGATGAAGGACACACTGACCTGAAGATGCCCCAGTGCATATTGGGCACGAGGCTCTGCCATAGAAGCCTCAAAGTCAATGTAAAAGAGGTAGTCAAAGTATCTGCAAGGATGGGATTCTATCAATACTTACTATGTAATAAAATAATATGATTTTGTCATTATTTAGTAGGTTGCACCAAGTGATATCTTTTTTTGGCATGATAAAAAGATTGCACCTTTGCAAGAAGAATTTAGAGGAATTGTGAGATGTTCAATTAATTACACATTCTTAGTCAATATCATGTTACTAATCCATTGTGTAATGAAATCCACGAATTGCATTCTTTTTTTTTTAGCCAACAATTATAAGCATAAATACATTAACTTAATACGTAAATCGGAATAGTAAAAATCTAATGTCCAAAGAGAGATAATAATGCATGGACTAACATAGACACACTTACGTAGCACGCCCGCTGTTAGAGTCATCAACAACTCTCAACGGCCTTCTTCTCTGTGGTCTGCTCTCTATCTGTAGTATAAATTTATAAATTTACGAGAAAGCTATTAATGGATACTCATAAATGGGTAAAAAGAACATAGACTTATAAAGTTTTGATCTTTTTTAATTACCTTTGACAAATTGATGTCCCTCATAGCAAAAACTGCTAAAGCCTTGAAAAGAACTCCAGGCCCTTCTTCTAGAGTAAAAACAATGCTAGTCTAGAAAGAAGAAATAATTCTTTAATGACATATATAGAAAGGCACATTTATTTGAGAGTAAGAAAAGTAGTACTAGTACCTTATAAGGTTTATCTGTTCCTGGGATTATTGGTTCTCTTGCAAGTATCAGAAAACGGGTTATGTTGTCAGAGTCATCCTGTTTGTTGGATTTAACGAACTGAATTAATTTAAAATTTATTACGTAATGGCCATTGTTTACTTTCCCTAATTGGGAACGATGAACAGTACTACATGATTGAAAAGTTAAAAGAAAAAGGTATGTACTCAGAGTTCCATTGAGACATTCACCCAAGTTAGATTATTTATTATTATTCCATTTAATACATTAGGTTATGCATAAGTAGATAGAGAGTATGGAAGGTTTGACAAATAGTTGGTATATAAAGCTAGAAAATATGACGTAAAAGAAATTCCATTTGTAGTTACATAAAATTGAAATATTTTGGTTCATTTATTGAGAAAAGAGCTATTTTGGTGCCTCCACATAAAAAATGTTTCACAACGATACTTGTCTTGATAAGTTGGCTTAGTTATCGAGCACAAGAAAGAATAAGCATCATTACTGAGAAGATGAGTAAAAACTGACCTGAATTCTTTCAGCAAGAACATTAAGTCCATAAATTTCTGCAGCTCGAGTATTTGCGATTGCTCCTGTTTCTCTCACCCCTTCTGAGGCTACAATCTGTCCTGACGTTAAATGAGACTTAACTAAAGTTTCAAAAAAGTGAAATTTCCAAAAAAGTAAACAAAAAAGTTTCACCGAGGGATATACCTGAGCTGCACAGGCAGTATCATCTGCATTGATTTTTGTAAGATGCAACTTGTTCAAAAAAATCTCACACTGTTCAAGTGCCTGTAATTACAACAATTATTTATTTTATATCTTCATCGTACAACCGATCACACTCAAAACTCTAAAATAGTAACAAATCTGCACAATACTCTCACTCCCTAAAAATAAATAAAAAGACATAATAACTAAATAAATGAATTACCATGAAATATGAAATATCTATATTTTTACTATGTTTTCTCCTAGTGAACAATTGACGGATACGAAAAACTTGATCACCTGTGGATGGCTCAAAACACGCTTTATTTCCTCCTTTCTAACACCGGGCAAACCAAGAAGACAATGGTTGACTATCAACCGAACTTCTCCAACTATGTGAAGCCTATGAAAAAGCAGCAAATCATAGTTGCGGTGGATGCTCCCACCTAAAGAATTCTCGATGGGAAGGACAGCTTTATCCACCAACCACAATTCAACTGCCTGAGTATAAATGTAAAAAATAAATTATTAAATTCTGAAATGCAGGGGTTAAGAGAAAAAAGAAAAACATAATTTGAGAAAGAGAATAAGTTATTTCATTTTGAGAAAGATAATAAGAAATAACCTTGAACACGGCCTCAAATTGATCACAAGGGACAGTCTCGGAATTCGGGTACGCTTTAAGTGCAGCAACCTCACTATAAGATCCAGGTACCCCCTAGATGATGCAAACAAACTACTCAAAGAAATATAAAGAATGTTTTAGATGAGATAGTGAAAGATGAACATACCCTATATGCCACACGGACCCTTGTGCCATCGCTCGGAGAAGAAGGAAGATTGGTGGAAGACAAAGGTTCTTCATTTATAACAGCACAGCCAAAAAAAGTATGCCAAACATAAGAAGGTAACTAAATTATGTCTCTCCCTTGAACAAAATTAATCTGAAGCATGCTATGCAATGCCACAGTAGTTATTAACTGTTAAGTGCTAACAAAATATTGGTCACAACTTAACCAATAATCCCTGGTCTGCACTCTGCAAAATGCCATATTCTGATATATATTTTTAGCATATTATTAACTCTAAGCATAAAGAATAGCTTCTGCGACGTAAAAATTGAAAAAGATAACCTTTTTTTAGATAACAGAAAACAAAATCTTCTTGAGCAATTCTACTGATAAGATGTTTTCATTAAAGCATTCCAACTCTAGAAAACATGAGTAATCATTAGAAAACTCCACTTGGCGCAAGACGATAACAAAACCCCATTCTTGGTAATCAGAAGAATTCCATAACGTTAACAATCTAAACGGATTTAAGTATCTGTGGCCATCATTACCAAACACACATCTCAAAAACGAATAATTAGCATTCTAACACATGAAATGAGAATCCTCGAGCAACAAGAAACTATCAAACTAAAATTAACTAATGTTTAAGACAAATGAATGGTTAATGATTTGAATCACTTGAATCCAACTAAAATTAAAACCATTCACCAAATTTCACAATCACAAAAAAATGGTTCAGCATAGAATAATATAAAAGGGCCTTTTTTTTTGTTCTTTTCACTCACTTGGAAGAGAGTTTAAATCCTTGTGGAACACAGCAGGTTGGGTGATTATCTGAGTGTCCTTTCTATCAACAGCAATTGGAAGTGAAGGGATCTCATCTCCCACTGGAGTGATTGCCCTTTGAGAGAAGCATTTTTTAATCCTCAAATTCACGAAAATGGGCACCCGACCCGCAAAACCTCGAAAGCCCAATTGGCAATGTGGATCGATCTTCCGGTCACCGGCGCCGGGAACCACCAAGAAACGCGAAACCTCCAAAAGCCGCGTCTTTTTCCGGCGCCCATACCAGTGCGAGGAGGTGCATTCAGAAGAACCCAGATTCATGAGAAAGGAATTAAGCAAAGGAAAAAATGCGAGCTAGAGCAAGAAAGATGTTACAAATGTCAACATTTTTTGTAGGTAAGTAGGTGAGAGTTGTGAATTATTTTCTTCTTCTTTCTTTTCGGGGGATTTACAGCAAATGCAGAAGAGAGCAAGCTGTCAAANAACCCTTTACAGAAGAGGCAAGAAAAAGACGGCTGTACAAGAAGGTCCTTCTCCAATTACTGTGTGCGTTTTTCTCTGCAAGTGTGGGTATCTTGAGAAGAAGGGAGACGAGAGCGAATGCCCGACCTGTAAATAACAAATAATGAGAGGTTTTTAATATATATATTTACTCAAACGAACTTTTTAAGAAATAAAAAGAAAAAGTTTATTTTATTTTATTTTTAAATAATGTACATTGTATTTCTTTTGGAAAATAATATTACAAAATTCTTATCTTGTTCATATAATCAGATGCGGAGTTATGTCTGAAAGTGATTGAGCACTTGACTTGAATACTGCCAACATAACATACTGCTGTGATCCATTGTAATCTATATATATATATATATAATAAGAATTAACATTTAACAAAAATAGTAGTAAAAAAATAGAAGAGAATTTAATGCAACTTATAAATAGTAAGTTTTATTATTTTTTTATTTTTATCTTTAAAAAATCATACAACATTAAATGTTGCATTAAATTTTGGGCTTTAATTCATTTTATTATTTAAAAATTTCAGCTAAGATCTATTAAGTGTACATTTTTATTTTTTTCATAGAAATTATGAAGAACATTAAAATTTCAGTCTCTATATTTATAAAATCTCACTTCAAAAGGTAATAAAAATTTTAGAATCAGGAAAGTATCTAGAAAAATATTTGGGGGGCGGGGTGACTAGAATTGTAAATCGAACAAAATTGTCTGCGAACATAACTCGGCCTGACTAACAGGAGATACATGGACTACATGTTTTATTTATAAAATAGTTTAGAAATATTTTGGGTGACTTCACATCTTTCAATAATGATATATAAAATTTTAGATACTTCACATACGTTATATAATATTTTAGGTGTTTTTAATATTTTAAACATACATTTTTTATGTTATTTTATACAAGATAATTTTATATTGTTTACAACTGATATACGATAAATTATGTCACATATTAACTCCACAAATTAATTACAATTTTTAGTTAATATTGTTTACCCTCATATTTAATTTATAATTATTAGTTAATATTGTTTACTATCATCGTTAATTTATAATTATTATTTAATATTATTTACCCGTTACCCGTGCATCACACGGGCTACACACTAGTACTATTTGAAATTAAATCCAATTTATGCAACCCATTCATGTATGGGAAGCTTTTTAATTTCTCCACTTTGATGGTGTACATTTGGAGCATTGGTTTGAATAATAAAATAATTCAATAATAAAATATCGAAGATAAAAAATTTATTAGAAAAAATTATAATTTACCAAAACTAGTTCATAACTATAATTAGTAGCTGAAATTTCATTAAAGTACGTGGGGAAACTTTCATGATCTAATTTTTACTGAATTTCAAAAAATAAACCAATCTAATAATATTTTTTATAAGTAAGTTATAAATAATAGGTACATTGTGATAAATAAATTTGTGATTGCAAACAATTTTGCAAATTTAATATATTTTAAGTAATATGTGAATCAAGTAAATAATGATTGATAATGATATTCTGGAAATAAACTACAATAGATAGGTGAATTCCATTAAGTCAATTTAGAAAATGAACTATAACCTATAAGAAAATTAGTGAAATGTGAATGATGATAAATCATATTGAGTACATTTTAAGAGCATCTGTAATGCTCGGATCCATTGGAGAAAAAGATTAGAGTCACTCAGTCACATATGATTTTGGAAATTCTGTATAAAAGCGTTATCTTTAATGTATACAAAAAAGCACCAAGTCTAAATGATTTGACATGTGAAAAAGTGGATTAAGTCTATATTAGGGTCTAATTTGAGACATGAGTCTAGACACAAATCCATACAAAAATTTATTTTAATAAACAACTCATGACTATTTGTTTCTACATTAAATTATTATTTTAATAAACCATTCATAATTTTGTTTCACATCACTTTAGATCTTCTCCAACGGTACTGGAAAATTGATCGCAAACAAGAAATTTCTCTCCAATGGATCTGCAAAACCCAACGCAAAATGCGTTGTTGGCTCTTTTTCTCTCTCCTGAAACGCAAATTTGCATCGCACTGTTCTAAGACGCAAATGTTTGCAGAATTTGTATTTCATACCCTTTTGTTTGCTTCATGTTTTATTTATTAACCTAATCTATATATATATATATATAATGGTTTTGAATATAGATTAATATTGTTTTTTATTTTATTTTAATGTTTTAATACTTTCTATATATGATTTTATTTTTTTAATTACAATTTAATATTTTGAAAATAACTTCATATATTCATATAACAATTAGATTATTCAATATGCTTTTGAAAAAAAAAAATACAAACCATATATTAAAAAATACTTTGAATTAAAATATTATTTTATTCGTTTTTATTATATATTATTAGTGTTTTTTTTTAAAAAAAAGTTACAAACCATATTAATATTAAAAAGACTACTAATTTAACAAATAAAAAAGACATTAATATTACCAAATTAGTTATAATATTGAAAGATAACATAGAACAACAGAAAATAAAAATACATAATAAACGATGAAAATTAGTTATACTATTTATTCCTCTTATTTTATTATGTATATATATGATTATTACTTTATAATTAGTATATTACATAAAGTCCAAATTGAATTGAAAATAATAGTGTGGTTTAATTTGTAAAGTTGTAAAATATGTAGGTAGTATTGAAAAGTTGTAAAAGTTGATGTAAAATAGAATATTCCGAGAATATTCTTTTGGGTTGGAAAATAGGTTTTTCGGTTGGAGATGAATTACTGCAAAATGGGTTTGAGTTTGGTGTAATCCGTTGGAGATGCTCTTAGACCCACGTTAAAAACAATTGCATTAGCGTAGATACTAGATATGGTCTATTTTTTCTCTACGTCATTCAAGACTCGAGTCTATTATATTGACAACTAGATAAAATTATATACCTAAAGCATTGTAATGCTCGGTCACTAAATATCACCCGTATAAGTGGCACCTTCATCCGTTGGATAAGGGACAACTGCCCCAAAATGATGTCAAAAAAAGTTTATTAACCTTTTTTTATTAAAAATCATGGGGGCATGTCTGATTTATTAGAGCATCACGAGTTTATTAGATGCCACACATACGCAAATAATTAGGTGTGCCAAGGTGTTTGTAAAATACACTCCCTCAAAAAAGCGCGTGAGGTAAGTTTTTTTTTCTTTTAATTGGGACATGTGTCCCATTTCTATTGGATAATGAATTTTATATATCATATTATATAAATTAAATTATCATTTATATTTTATATTAAAAAATAAAAATAAAAATACCAAAATTCATAATTTTTTCATTCTCTACAAATAGAGATCACATTTGATAAGTTTTAGAATACAATTAAATTATCACTTTTCACAATTAATTTATTTTGTTGGAAGATGAAGACGCAGATCCATAATAAGATAAACATGTTACTTAGTAAGATGAACATGTTGTAGAATAAGATGAACATGTTACATAGTAAGATGTTATAGAATTAGATGAACATGTTACATAGTAAGATGAACATGCTACATAGTAAGATGAACATGTTATAGAATAAGATGAACATGTTACATATTTACACAATAAGACGAAAATGTTATAAAATAAAATGAATATGTTACAAAATGAGATGAACATGTTACTTAGTAAGATGAACATGTTACATAGTAAGATGAACATGTTATATAATAAGATGAACATGTACATAGTAAGATGAACATGTTATAGAATAAGATGAACATGTTACATATTTACACAATAAGATGAACATGTTATAAAATAAGATGAATATGTTACAAAATGAGATGAACATGTTATAACATAAGATGAACATGTCTGTAACATGTTCATCTTATTTGATAACATATTTATCAAATAATAAATGTGGTCTCTATTTATAGACAATGAATTATGAATTGATTACGAAAAAAAAAATTAATTATGTTAAAAAAAACCTATCAAATGTGGTCTCTATTTATAGACAATGAAAATTTATGAATTTTGGTATATTTATTTTTTTATTTTAATATAAATCATTAATGATATTTTAATATATCTAATATGTCTTATTTTCAATTAAAAAAAAAAAAGACATGTGTACTACACTCTCTCATTTTTTTGGTTTTTGAGAGTGATTACACACCTAGCAAGGTGTGTCCGGGCACACGGTAGTGGTAGTGCCAGATGGCACCCTATGTGCCACTCATTAAATATCACCGAAATGATGTCAAATTTACAATTATGGGGACATGTGTCTCTCATCCAACGGATGATTGTGCCACTCATACGGGTACATCTAATAAATCAGGGATGCTCTAATAAATTGGACATATGGTTATGTTGTGGAGATTTTTTTTAGAAAAAATGCCTAATCTAGACACTAATTTGGTGCAAGAATAAGTGAAATCTTTTTGTGTAGTTTTTTGTTTTTTTTTTTTAATACATACACTATTTAATTTGGTAGATGAATTCTGTTGGGATAGAATTAATGAAGGGTTCACTTATGTAATGTCTACATAATATATTTTTGTAATTGCCCTAAAGATTGGTCCACAATAGAAGGTGATATATAATAATTGTGTTGACAAGTTATAATTTCCAATTGAAAAAATAAATAAATAGGGCAAACATGAAAATTAAACAGAAAAAATGCCAAGACTTCGTGATCTACTTGATATATTCAGAACCTTGACATAGCTGAACTTTTCCCATTTAAATGCCACAAACAAAAGAGGGCAGCAAAAGCTAAAAGAAGAAAAACACCACAAACAAGAATTTAACCAAATAATGCAACTGCCAGAACAAAACATTGCTTAAGGAGAGAGTAACCTTTGAGTTGGCATATTTCTTTTAAATTTACAAAACCAATTGCTTAAAGTGACAGCCTATCCACACATGCAATTCCCCTTCAAACCACCACATTATAGATCTAAAAAATCTTTATTACCCCAAACTCCTCCTTAACAATCCTCTGTTTCATCACCCATAGTTCAAACTTCCAAGGTTCTAAAGCTTCCTAATAAGGTACTTCTCTCTTTCTCCCTCTCTCTCTCTCTTTCTCTCAAAGTATTCTGTTTTTTCTTTCTTCAAAAACTCTGTTGTTCATATAGAAGTACAAAAATCCCAATGGATCAAGGTTCAACTTGGGCAGATCAATGGGGAGAGGGAGGGTTTGGTGCCATGCCTGACGAAAACCCTAAAAAAAGCAACAAAGAAGAGAAGAAGACTACCGGATTTGGAAAGGCTCGAGCGGCCATCAAGAACGGGACTCTCATGGGCTTCAAGTGGATTAAAAACAAATTTATAAAGAAATCAGAGAAGGCCACTATTTGATCATTTGTATGGAAATACTCGTGTTTGCTTTGTGATTTTTGGGCAAAAACTAATATAATGCAACATTAAGGAAAATGATGTCTCCTATTAGCCTAATATTATTGCCTTTTCATTTGAGACAGAGAGAGAGAGATTATGAACAGTATTGTATTTGAAAAGGAAATCATGCAAAGAGAAATTTAATTTACTGTAAGTAAAAAAACTGCACATTGTCTGCTAGAGTCAGGCATAACAAGCACGAAGATGAAGAAAAGTCATGGACGAAAAGAAATTTACTCTTAGAGATACTATTTACAGTTTAAGTAATCCATCAGCCTTCATAGTCACCGAATGTGTTCTCGCCACTGTAAGTCATGTACAGAAATCCATCCTCGTCTTTGTTCTCGTCGTAAATTGCAGACATCAATGCAGCTGTACCAATATATAAATGTTCGTTTTATAATAGATATACGATAAATATTATTAACAAAATAATATATAAAGGGATATATACACTCACCAGTTGAAGGGAGTGTGTCATTGACAAAGACAAAGATGGCCTTCTCAGCACTTAGCTTGATTCGCTTTCGGACTACGTAAACAAACTGACCAACGGTCAAGTCAGCTGGAACAAGGTATCTGAAAATAAAAAAGGGAAAAAAAAACTTGAGTTGGACAAAAGTACTTTTGTTGAAACGGACATAATCGTAAGTTTCTAAGGTTTTTTCTTGTTCAGTTCATAAGAATTTTTCTTTCAAGTTTTAGTTGTTTTAGATTTTCCGGGAACACAAACCATAAGTCAATTTATACTGAACAATAATACTTACTGATATCCGAAAAGGAAGACATTTCGGAATGGAAAAAGGTCAGTCTATAGAATTCTTAAGTAATTAATGATTAATGAACATAATAAAACAAAATAATATCAAACTTTATTGAATTACAAGCGATCATCGACACAATTCAGTTGCGTGTAACTTACTTCTTCTTATCAATGTCAGGGATTTCACTCTTTCCAGCTTTTTCCACAATGACCTGAAGAGAATTAGTTGTAAATAAAATAAGAATCTCACACACTTGCCGTAATTTTAGCCTTGGGCAATAAATATTGAATCACTGCTTTTGAAATACAAAATATATCTAACCGGAACCCTGTCAGGATATTTCTCTCTTATGCGAGAAGATTCTGCTTGTCTTCTCTCTGCAATGGTAAAAAAACAGCACACAGTTATTTCTCTGTAATGACTCAATATTTCTCCAATTTTATGTGCCCTTGCATCAGAAAAATCCTCAACTCAAACAGTTTACGCCCAATAAAAAAACATGGATTCAGCAGAAAAACTAAAGAAAAGCAAACCAAATATTTATATCAGAAAGTGATCATGTTTTTCTTCATCCAAAAATGTTTGCCGAGAAGTTCACTTGAAATTATGTAGCAGTCACCTGTTATTGATTATGAAATAAAAGCAGAAGAAGACTTTTTGCAGACATTGAAAACAAAAGCTCTAAGTTTATAGAACAAACGAAGCAGTAGAATGAAGTTCATAAACCAAGAACTGATAATCAAACAATAAACAGGGTTCATCAACCAAATCAATCAATCCGGAAAAAGCCAAGCTTTTGGATTTTTTTTTCTTCCATCTATGTATATGTTTTGTAGAAAAAATAAAAATCTTTGACTTCAATAGTTGAAGAGTTCCCATAAACATCCATATATTTTTACCTCATTACTAATATTGAAACATAATTGAATTGGGTAAAATCCATAATGGGGTTGGGGCATGTTTTTGCAGAAGACATTTTCACTTCCTCAAACAAATACAAGCAAACCCAATAGAACTACAAATTCACCAGAACCCATTATTATCATCTGATCATACTAAAATAACCAAAACAGGTCTAAACAGACATAACAACATACCCAGAGGGTGTTCTAACTTGAAAGAGCTTTTCGCCATGTTACGCATCAAATTTGTTTTTCACACTGCAAAAGTCAGACATCGAAACAACATCAGACACCAACAAATTGTTTTTCATCCTCGAAAAACCAATAGCAACAACAAGACACAAAAGAACAATCAATTTACTCATCATGTTTTACGTATATTCTTATTTATGTATAGAGAGGGAGCAAACCCAGATTCACGCAAAAGGGATTGTCGCCAAACTCACCAAAGAACCAGAAGATTACAAAGAAAATTTTTTAGGGGCCTGATTGGATTGATTATACGGGAAAAAATTATATCCAAACAAAGGGTCAAAATCAAGAATGAAAAAATTCATAAATATGTTAGATAAATAATGAGAAGCAAACCGAATGGAGTTTGGGATATGTAGACGCAATTGAAGATGTCCTTTATCAATAAGGAAGCTTCTTTTGGGACTTAAAAAGGGTTTTGTGGATGATACACGACGATTATGTGGAGACTGTAGAGGCGATAATTTGACTTGACTTTGAGGGCGTAAACGGAATTGACATTCTTGCGCTTCAAGTAGAATGTGAATTTACTAGGGTATCACACTAGGGGCGGTACCGTAATTACTTGGTTTGTTGCGTTCACACTTAAAGAGTTGGTTAATTACGGTACCGCCCCTAGTGTGAACACTCGCAGTACCTTTTGTTCTCATTTATGTTTTTTAATTTGTCATTTATATTTTTCGATTGGATAAGTTGAGGTTTGGCAGCGATTTGGCTACTTTCAAAATTTCTAACTCAATCTTAAATCCCTTGATATTCATCATTAGTGCTGGGACGAGTACAATACTATTAGGTTAATAATATGCTTAGCAAATTATTAGTTAGTATAACTAATTAGGTGTTAGCTGTAACTGCTTTGTGTAAGTCTGGCACACATATATACACTTGTATCCTTTCTGATTAATAATACAACTGAATATTTCCCCTTTACCTTTCTCTAACATGGTATCACGAGCCTAACCCTAGTTTTCTTTTCTCCGGCAAATCTCCATGGCTGAATCTTCATCGCCAACTTTGTTTCTTCCTCCTCACCTCGCTCCCCTTCCTCTTCGGTTAGATCGATCTAATTTCTCCTATTGGAAGCTTCAGATCCTGTCTACAGTCCGCGCGCATGGACTTGAGGATTTCCTCGTCAATCCATCTCCTCCGGCGCGACTTCTATCACCGTCTGCTGGTTCTACTGGTATTTCGCTCAATCCGGAGTATGTCAGGTGGATGCGCACTGATCAATTGATCCTTAGCTGGATGCTTGCGTCCATGACGGAATCTATGCTCGGGCATGTAACTCGCTGCTCTTCTTCTGCCGAGGTCTGGTCAGTCCTGTTACAGCTATTCCATACTCAATCTAAGGCACGTGTTCTTCATCTAAAGTTTCAACTTCAAACTCTGAAGAAAGGTGATCTCTCTGTTGATGAATTCATTCTTAAGATGCGTCATTTGGCCGATGAATTACACTCTGTTGGACAACACATTACTGATGATGAGCTAGCTATGTATGTGCTTGGTGGATTAGGTTCTGATTATGAGGCAGTTGTTGTGAACCTTACATCTAGACTCGATTCAATTTCTCTGGCTGAAGTTCAATTTTCGCTGCAAACACATGAGATGCGTCTATCCAGTCAAACTTCTTCTACACCTTTGGCCTTTCCGGCTACTTCCTCTCCGTCTGTACCTTCTGCTACTCCTTCTGCTAACTTTGTGCAATCTCGTGGTGGTTTCTCCTATTTTCGTGGTTCTAACAGGGGCAGAGGTCGTTTTCGTGGACGTGGTGGTCGATTTTTCAAATCTGGTGATCGTGTGATTTGTCAACTGTGTGGTAAGGCAAATCACGTTGCCTTAAAATGTTATAAGCGGTTTGACATCAGTTTCACAGGTCAAGAACAGCAGGCTTCTCAGTTTCCTCAGGCTCATGTTGGTGAACACTCTGTAAATCAATCCTTTGGTGAGCCAGGACCACCTTCTTCTTCTACCACTGATCCACATTGGTATTTTGATAGTGGGGCAACACATCATTTAACCACAAACCTTGAGAACCTCTCTCTCCAAGCAGCTCCTTATCAGGGTAAGGATAAAGTTTTGGTTGGAAATGGCTCTAGTCTCAATATATCTCATATTGGTGCTTCTTCCTTTGCGACTACTCAGAATTTTCCAGTTCTTCTCAATAATATTCTCTTTGTCCCTCATATTACCAAAAATCTCCTAAGTATCTCTCAGCTCACTAAAGATAACAATATACTCATTGAATTCCATTCTGATTTTTGCCTTGTGAAGGACAAGACTACTCATCAAGTGCTCCTGGAAGGAATGCTTAAGGATGGTCTCTACCAACTAGACTTATCCAAGAGTGCTTCCTTCCTACATCAACTTCATTCCTCAAATTCTCCTACTATTACAGATCCTGCACGTTGTTCTCTTACTTCTTCTGTACATAAACCTGTTTCTTCTCTTGATTCACTTACAAATTGGCATAGACGGCTTGGTCATCCCTGTATCAATGTTTTTAGACATGTTATGCATGATCTTGAACTTGCTGTACCATCTTCTTTACCATTCTGTGATGCATGTAAACTGGGCAAACTTCATCAGTCTCATTTTGCTTCCCAGCCCACTAAAACTACTTTTCCTTTTGAACTAGTACATTCTGATGTATGGGGACCCTCTCATGTTATTTCTATTGATGGCTACAAATATTATGTGTCCTTTATTGATGACTTTACTCGTTTTACTTGGATATTTCCCTTAAAATCCAAGGCTGAGGTCTCTTCTTTGTTTCAGCAATTTCACAATTTTGTTCATACACAATTTCATACAACTATAAAATGCCTTCAATCAGACTGGGGTGGTGAATATAGGTCATTGGTTCCTATTCTCAACAATCTTGGTATTAAATTCAGACATCCTTGCCCTCATGTCCATCAGCAAAATGGAAAGGCAGAAAGAAAACATCTTCACATTGTTGAAATGGGACTGTCACTTTTAGCACAAGCCTCTCTTCCTCTGAAATTTTGGTGGCATGCCTTTAGTGCTGCTGTTTATACTCTCAACAGACTTCCTACTCCTGTTCTCTCTCATGTCTCTCCTTTTGAAGTTCTGTTTAAACATAAACCTGATCTTTTCTTTCTCAAGACCTTTGGTTGTGCCTGCTTTCCATATCTCAGGCCTTATAACAATCATAAATTTCAATTCCGAAGCTCCAAGTGTGTGTTTCTAGGTTATAGCCCTTCTCATAAAGGCTACATTTGTCTCAATTCACAGGGAAGAACTTATATTGCCATCACAGTAGCCTTCAATGAATCTGAGTTTCCCTACTCTTCAGTATGCTCCTCTTCATCTTCTTCTTCTAACTGTGATTCATCATCCTTTCAAATGGTCCCATATCATTCTCAACAAGGCATTTTACCTACTTCTTTTCCACAGCCTTTACCTTCAAATGTTGATTCTCCGACCCAGCTCCCTTCTCCCTCTTCTTTATCTCAATCATCTGCCTCTACTGTTCCTTTATTTGTCCAGCCTCCTATTTCCTCTCCTTTACCTCCTGTTCAGTCACCCTCTCAAAATGTATCTTCTTCACCTTCTTCTTTAACCCCTACACTTAATTCCCATCCCATGATTACAAGGTCTAAAGTTGGTACATTTAAACCCAAAACCTATGCTGCTCATCTCACCAAATCTCCCTTATTGGAGCCTACTACTCCTACTGAAGCTTTATCCAAACCAGAGTGGCTAGCTGCTATGAGGGATGAGTTTAATGCTCTAATTAAAAACAACACTTGGTGCTTGGTTAATCCAACTCCGGATATGAAGGTCATCTCCAACAAGTGGGTTTTTAGGACAAAATATAAATTGGATGGCACAGTTGACAAGTTCAAGGCTCGGCTGGTTGCAAGGGGCTTTGAGCAAACAGCAGGGGTAGATTTTATGGAAACTTTCAGTCCAGTAATCAAAGCTTGCACTATCAGATTAGTTTTCACATTGGCTGTCACTTATTCTTGGTCAATTCAACAAATTGACATTAATAACGCCTTTCTCAATGGTGATTTACTTGAAAATGTTTATATGACTCAACCCTTTGGTTTTGCTGATCCTAATCATCCATCGGCTGTTTGCAAACTCAACAAATCCTTGTATGGATTAAAGCAGGCCCCTCGAGCTTGGTTTAACAAAATAAAGGGTTTTCTACTGTCTCTGCAATTTAAAGAGTGTGTCTCGGATTCTTCCCTTTTTTTCAAAAGGGAACATGGTGAACTTTTGCTTGTTCTAGTGTACGTCGATGACATTCTCATCACAGGTGGTCATTCTGATTCCATTCATCATCTTATTACTGTCCTTGGCAAAAAGTTTGCCTTAAAAACAATGGGAGAGGTAAATCATTTTCTCGGATTTGAAGCTCTCAAAACTCCTACAGGCTACAGTTTAAACCAGTCCAAGTATGCTTTAGATTTATTGGTCAAGACCAACATGATTAATTGTAAACCGGTTTCTACTCCAATTTCACCTGCTCAAAAATTACATCTCTGTGATAGTGCTGCATTCAGTGATCCAACCCTTTATCGGAGTGTGATTGGTGCTCTGCAATATCTAACAATGACAAGACCGGACATTTCTTTTGCCGTAAATAAACTCAGTCAGTTTCTTCATTCTCCCTCTACAAATCACTGGCTTGCTTGTAAACATTTACTACGGTATGTGAAGGGCACAATTACTCTCGGTCTGTCTTTTACACCTGTCACACGGTTTAACCTTCAAGCATACACGGATGCTGATTGGGCAGGCTGCCTTGATGATAGACGCTCTACTGGTGGTCATCTTGTTTTTCTTGGTCACAATCTCATTAGCTGGAGTTCTAAAAAGCAACCGGTCGTTTCGCGCAGCAGTGCTGAGTCGGAATATCGAAGTCTTGCCAATGCTACCTCTGAAATTATATGGCTTCAGTCCTTATTTCATGAACTTGGCTTATTCTACGAGTCTCCTTCAGTCCTTTGGTGTGATAATATTAGTGCCGCTGCTCTTGCCTCCAATCCTGTCTACCATGCTCGCACAAAGCACATTGAGATTGATATTCATTTTGTGCGAGAAAAAGTTGCTGCAAAGGAAGTTGATGTTCGTTATGTGTCTTCAGAATTACAGTTGGCTGATTTACTCACAAAGCCACTTGCTATTTCTCATTTTCGGTCCTTATGTTCCAAGCTTCCTCTGTATGATAAGGGTGGTGCTGTCACCTAGCTTAGTTTCAGGGGGGTGTATTAGGTTAATAATATGCTTAGCAAATTATTAGTTAGTATAACTAATTAGGTGTTAGCTGTAACTGCTTTGTGTAAGTCTGGCACACATATATACACTTGTATCCTTTCTGATTAATAATACAACTGAATATTTCCCCTTTACCTTTCTCTAACAAATACGAGTGTGTATTACACGGGTACTTGTTAAGAAAATTATTTTTATAATTAAATAATAATAACTATAATTGTTTAAAACTAAATATATGTATTTATAAGCTAATTTGAAGTTTTCATGGAAATTAATGAGCCAATTGAGAGCTTCAAAAACAAATCAAGATTATATTAGTCAATCAATATCATTACCAAAGGTTTCCATACAGCTTAAGGATTATATTAGTCAAGCTATTGTGAAATTACCAAGTTAGTTTTTTAATATTTTTGGAATGTCCGAACCCAAAATTATTGATTTAGAATAATATTATTTTTTATCCAAATCAAACTACGAAGCATGTTTTTTCGCCAAGTAAAATTTCGAGGCGTGCGAGGCTGCCATTTAGGCAGCGCATTATGTAATTATATGTAGGGAGGATTAAGGGTGGCCTAGCCAAATAGTTCAAGTTTGAGCTCCTGCTGTTTAGTAAAGAACCCGACTCGGCTTGATCCTTTTAATAAATGAACCGAACCATTTAATAAATTTAAAATATTGAACCAACTATTCGCAAACATGAAATATTTATTCGCAAACAAGTTCGACTCGACTATTACATTTAAAACCCATAAAAATAATTATTATAAAAAAATCAAGCTATTTATGAAAAAACTCTACTCATTTAATTAACGAACTCGATTAACTGTTCAAGCTCAGCTTGTCTAAGTAAACGAACAAGTCGATCTCGAAAATTCACAAGCCAAACCTGCATTCTTGAATAACACTCGGATTCAAAATAACAGTTTGGGTCTTCATTCCGGTGGATAGCGAAGTGATTCACTTTAATCTACTTTTGTAATGCACTTGAATAGACCAATTTGTTCACGTGCTTAATTTTTCGGGCAAAAATACCCTCCATATCACAATAATTTCAATTCGGTAATTCCACTCTGATGCAGCCACAATTACAGTGACAATTTCAATATCCATTTATGCTGAAAACTTGGACCAACTCTTGAGGTACACGCATTTAAGCCACATTAAGAAACCAGCAATGCACATATAACGAATTTCTTCAAATGGCATGGCCATGACATCAAACAAAACAGAAATATGCAATTTATTTGGTTTTGGGTCTAAGGAAATGTTAAAATTGTTCGACATTAAGTACTCAACTCGAATAACAATTATCCCTTCCTTCCTGCAAGAATAGGAGCCTCGAATAACTCCTTTTCTTTAGAAAAAAAAAAATCTCCAATGCATAAAAGGATGCATGCCTTCTTGTATGTAACTTCTGAATGCAACAATAGACTATAAGAGCATCTCCAATGTAACTTTTGACATTATAAAAAGTCATCCATATCATCAACTTTTGAAAGTGTGTCTCTATTTTTTTTCTCTAATGCATCTTGTCATGAACTCTTACATAATGAGGTGGATGTCATTTAATATTGACAATGTTGAGCACACTTTCTAATATCTAACACCATGTTAAACATGATGACTCATCAATTTACTTTATATTTGTTTTAATTTTTTATTTTTTTTATCAATGAATTATTTAATTGGTCCACCTATACAAATAACTTCTTATCAATTGATGCATTGGAGATACTAGTTTCATTGAAATTTCTAGTCTTTTAACATTATTCCAATGTGGATTAAAATTACAATCACTAATTGACATGTGTTAAAAATAATGGTCTTTCAGACTCATAGCATGAGAGATGCTCTAAGTTAGCCAGCATATGTTGCCTACAATTTCCAATCAGCTTAAATCATGAAACCTAAATACCTTAATGATAATAAATTAATAACGAAAGAAACATACAGAAGCACAAGGAATCCACCCTCCTCCCCATTATAAGTTTATAACTACATTATATAAAAGTGATTCTCATAAATTAACAACACTTGGCAAGAACTTATGCTAAAAAACCTCGCTGAAATATCGATTCCAATCACACAGCATCACCCATTACATCGTATTTTTCATGTCAAAAAGTATCCCCCAAATGCAAGTTCTCACAAGCAAATACATAAATACATTAGCATTGGCATTAATCATTATCTTGCACTAAAGTAGTATATTTCCTGTATTTATTACCAAATTCAGGATTCTTTATGAGGCATAGAGGGAACAGGGTCAGAATTGGGATTGCGAAGGGACTCGATCAAGTCACCTAGCTCCTTGCGCGCCGACTCTCTCCCGAACATGAATCCATACCTAAACACCACAATGAAAAATAAATTAGTACGTCATTAGATATTCAAAATTTCAGGAGAAACAGCTTTAGTGAGAGTTGATGAGTTTTTGTAAAACAAGAAAAATATATACCAACAGGAGATAGCAGAGAAGATGCTGGCAGTTGCTACCGTTTGTAGGAGAGTGAAGTTCTTCTGCATTTTCTACTTCGTAGATTTCTAATCTTCAACCTTCTTTTGATGCCTTCTTTTCGAATAACCTTCAAGTTACATTAAAACATAAATAAGATTTGACTATATCAAATGATAGAAGTTTAAGAGAAAAATGAGTAATGCCATTTAGCCAACTTAGAGGACAACTTGGGTTAATCCAAGTGTAAATGCATTATAAAGAAATTAAAAAATAATGCCTTGAGTTGTAACCCAAGTTGTAACCCAAGTGGGCTTTATAACATTACTTAAGAAAAATATCTATATATACAAAACAAAAGGGTATTAAGTTTAAATGTAGGCCAAACTTGTTTTAAGGTGATCACAAGTTCAACAAAAGCATTAATGGAAAAGTTACGAGAAAAGTATTCAAATAAAAATGTTGTGCACGGCTAAGTCACTCAGTAAGTCCAAGTTATCTTTGCACTCCAAAATATTATCCCTCGCAACATAATCAATAGATTTGGAGAAAGATACCACCACAATATCACCTATTCAAATATTCTATTACAGAAACTCTGCCTCGACACTAAACGAAACCCAACCACTAATGAGTACGACTGACGATGATGGTAAAGGTTGAAAACAAAGAGAGGCTTGCTATAGTCACCAACTTTGGACATTTTATGGATGACACACTAATATTCAAGCAAGTCAATAAGGTTTCATCATCTAGAAATGGAAATGATGCTGCAGATTTTGATCGTATTGACATATTCAAATTATTTGACATCCTAAATGGCATCAAGATTCTTGAATTTTCAAGATAAGATTAAATAATAATGTAGATTTCCTTTTTTCATATAGGTTTTTCAACATATATTCAATATCGACCTCATTGTTCAGATACAAATTTTTCAGTTTGTTCTTTTCGGATTATTTCGGATTATGTTAGGTTAGTGATAAATTAAAAGTAAAAAAAAAAAGACACAATAACCTCTAGGCATTGAATCATTACCACTTACTACCTATACATAATCGACAAGTTTTCACCCGAAAAGAAGGTGATATCTTTATTCCAAATAAGTTGGCCCCAAAAGCTCAGCTGACACACAAACACTAGAAATGCAGTAACAAGCAGAAACTTAAAAACCCCATTCACATCCGAATCCAAATCCAAGTCCACCAACAAAAGCAAATTAAAACATACAAAATCATCATACACATCACATACCCACCATTAATAGTACAATAATACCCAATGGGCAAATCATTAATGCACCAAAAGCAAAGATAGATCTTAACCCTAATTAAATCAATAAAATCAAAGAGACATTCTGGCCAATACCTTTTCGTGGTAGTCGGTAGAGGCAGAGTAGATCGCCGGTGAGTGGAGTGGGTGCAGACTGCCGCCGGTCGTCTGCCGAGTAGGTGCGGAATGAAGCTCAAACGAAAGCCGCGAAAGCCAGACGTTTTCTTGACCCAAGCCCATTTGGTCCTGTTTAAAATTAATTAATTAATTAATTATGATTTAAACCTTAATTTCTTTCCTTTTTCTAGATTTTACATCGGTACATTAGAAATCGTTTTTATTTGTATATTTACGGAATATATTTCCAATTATAAATAAGCTAATTTTTACTGTTTTTTATAATTTATTTGTTGTTTATTTTCGTTATTTATTTTTATTTCATATGATTTTGTTTATAATGTATAATTTTATTTCGAAAGAGTTTTTTTTTTTCTCTCTCTCTTTTATTATGGGGTTGTCCTATTTAGGCCCGTTTATAAACATCTAAGATTGGGCTTTTTACCACATGCCCACTCCTGAACGCTACAACGTATGCTGTATAATTTTTTGATTTTTCAGATAATAAACATTAAGTCATCAAATAATATATTTATAACTTATTTAGTTATAAAAACCATAAATTAGCCCATCGATCATTTTACAAAAGAGTTTTTTTTCCCTTTAAGATGTATGAAAACCATAAATTATGCCGTAGTTTTTGTAATAAATATATGTGATTTTACAAAAGATAGAAATTTCATGTAACATAAAAGATCTCTATGCTCATCTACGTAGCAGCTAGCATTTTAAAAAAAGCCTAAAGTTATGTTTGGTAAAACTAAAATTAGCTGATAAACTAACTTATACTCCCTCCTATTTTTATTATTTGTCGTTTGAGAATCAACACACTAATTAAGATTTTTTTTTTTCTTGTCAATATTAACCCTGTTTAATGAAAGGTGGATTGGTTAAACATGTCATAGGAATAATGATGGATGTTCTGGGAAACGATGGAGATGAGATATAAAGAGACACTGTATATTAGATGGAGGGGTTAAAAATGAAAAAATTTGAACAAAATAGCAAAAACGACATTTATTTAATCAATGATCAATTAAGCGAGACTGACAAATAATAAAAATAGGAGGGAGTAGGTTATAAGTAATTTTTGAGTTTGACTATAATTGGTAGACAAATAAGCTATATAAGCTAGCTTATAACTTATTTGGTTAGCTTATAAACTCCATGTATTCAAATAAGCCTCGTTTGGTATGACGAGCTTTTTTAAAAAGCTCGAGCTTATCTCATAAGCTACTTTATGTAGCTTTTCAAATAGGTTAGTTGAATTTTTTATTTCAGCTAACTTATCAGCTAATTTTACCAAACACTTTTATCATATAAGCTAGCTTTTCAGCTATAGGTCATAAGCTATAAGCTATAAGCTCAAAAATTACATATAAGTTATAAGCTAGCTTATCAGCTAGTTTTACCAAACATAGCCTATGCAGCTTTTCAAATAAGGTAATTGAAATTTTTATTTCAGCATCAGCTAATTTTACCAAACACTTGTATCATATAAGCTAGTTTTTCAACTATAAGTCATAAGCTATAAGCTCGAGAATTACATATAAGTTATAAACTAGCTTTTACCAAACATAGCAGCTTATATGATAGAAGTGTTTAGTAAAATTAGCCGATAAGCTAGCTGGAAAAAATAAAAATAAAAAAAAATCAACGAGTTTATTTGAAAAGCTACCCAAAAAAGCTTATGAGATAAAAACTCGAGTCTTTTAAAAAAATTCGTCCTACCAAACGAAGCTTATTTAAACACAAGAAACTTATAAACTAACAAAATAAGCTATAAGTTAGCTTATTTGTTTACCAAACATATTATTATTATTATTATTATTTTATCTTATCGCTAAATTTACACTTATATTTTACCAACAGAAAATTCAATTATCAAATATAAGCTATCTTCATTAGCCTGAAATTAGTATTACACAAAACTGAGCTGCAGAAAATATGATTGAATGCAAAGATGACCTGCAGAATTTTTCTAAAAAAGAGGTCCATACTCCATAGCCATAATAGATATGGCCAGTTTGGGTATCTGCATTTATCCTTTGTTGTTCTTCACGTGCTCTGTCACCCCCTCCATGTAATAAGGTCCCAAAAGGACTGGTTTTGTGCAATTATAGAGCACTCAATTCAAATCAAGAAAAATGGGGCACATAAGGACCATCACACATAACAAGAAGATCCATCCATGAAGCTTCAAGATCTCAAACTATATAAGATAGTATAAATTCCTGAAATACATGAGCAATGTTATAAACTATAAGATAATATAAAATGTTCAAGGATAGTGAAACATTGATACTTTACCTAATCTGAACCAATTACATATCCCCCATTATATTTAATACATCCAAAAATATTGTCATATTCTAATAGAAAATGCATTACTCATATAGGGAAATTGCAAGGAATATTCCAATGGAGATCAGCATTAAAATATTTCATTAGTAATAAAAATTCTCTTGGAATTCAATTTGGAATTTTGATAATTCTAACCATCATTTTTTTAGTGTTTATTCTTATAGAAATTCCTGTTGGATTTCATTTTTTTTTGTCGTATTTCAACTATTGTAATAGCTTCCGTTGAAATCGTTAAAACTCAATTAAATTTTTCATAAAAAAAAACCCAATTCCAACTAACTATTTTTGTAGGAGTCCCTTAAAAAATTCTAACGGATATATATTATAACATTAAAATATCCATTAAATCTGACGCAAAAATTTTTTTGAATTCTCCAATGGAATTTCACTATTATCTTGCAGTGCTGACCTCCACTAAAAAACAGTTTGTTCTTCAATCCAACTTTATTACGATGTATGACATTTTGCACACTTGAATAGTAGATGTTGGGAAATTTTGGAGATGGATCACAAACTTTGTATAGATCCCTTTTATTTTTCCTTTTCATTTGATTGTTGGTTTAGTACTCCTTTGGCACTTATTTTGTTGGACCCTCATGCAGACATCTATGTACAATCTATACTTGATTTTGAATGCTTTCTTGATTTTGTTTGTAAATAATGGTTTGGAAAAAGAGGAGTTAATTAGGTCAAGGGACACAAGAGGGGTGTGATTGAGGATGTTGGATATGTTTTTCATGTTGTACACAAAAACAAAGACCTACTTATAGTGTTTGGTGCATTAGTTACAACTCCAAACCCACATGAAGAGAAGGACAGCTTGTGGGAGGCCAAAGTCTAAAACACATTATTTTCATTCTTGACTATTATATATAGTATTGTGATTTCCATAATACCCCCTTAAGAGAAAAGTTCAAAATTAAGAATATAAAATAGTATAAAATTAGTAAGCAACAAAACTACTTTTGTATATATTTGGTTGGTTGTTTTGTTGTATTCAGTTTGTTTTTCAATATGAACTATTGTCTAGATTGATGAGATGACTCAAAGTAGTATGATCGAATCAGATTAAATTTTAGTCAAATTTTGTAATTTATAACAAATTAACAATAAATTGTAGTATGTTGTGGTTTCACGATTGTTTGTATTATTTTTTTTCCCCATATGATTTTACTAGTACATCATAAAATAATAACAAAAAAAAAAAAAAAAATTCAGTAAAAAAATTAATGAATAATCACTAAAAAATATAAAGCCACATTTTATCAATTAGCATTGCGTGTCCCACTGTTGAAATTTTGTGACCAATTCTTGCAACATTATAATATGGTCAAATGAGGGCAAAAAGGCAATGGCTATTTGTGGTGGCTGCTTTGTAGAACAAAGCATTACAGAATTTATTTTGTCTCATCACGCTAATGCCATTCATGGTCTTCTTGTTTGAATAATTAAAATAAGAAATAAAAATAAAAAGTTAAACCCTTTTTCTTTGTTTCTAGAATAATTATGAGCTAAAAATAGTTACTTTAACAGGGGCGATATCTTGTCCGCGAGATGAGTAGTTCTATTGAGAAGAAAATTGCAATCTATATATATATATATTATTATATAAAGAGGCAATTTAAATAATCTTAAAATAGTATTTTAAAATTATTTGGTTTCCCGCCTACAATTTAGACTTACTAAATTAAGTAAATTTTTTTGAAAAAATTTGAAATACCACGCTCTTTTAAATCAGTTTGAACTTTTCTGAAATTTGAAAATAAAATTTTGCCCATTTATCTAACTAAAACCCAATTTAATTTGGGAACGAATACCAAACATTCGTGACTCTTTCCCATCCGCTCCATAAACCCTAATCCCCACCGCGTCGCCCCTTGCCCTCCTCTGGTGCGCCGCCAGTGGACTCTCCACCATCAGCTCAATGGCCAGCGACGGGAGTGGTTCCAACGCCCCCTTCCCGGCCACGTTGCGCTCGAGAAGCAGTGGACGGCTTTCGGCACCATCTCCACGGCTCCGGTTGCCTGCGCTAGAGTATTCGAGGCGTCGACTCGGAGATTGATTCCGTCATGAGGATTAGCCAGTGGTGCCTTCCGCTTATTCACCGGTCTCACCCTGTACCATGTGATTTTCTTTGGTTTTTTAGCTTGATTTTTGCTTTGTTTTTCTGTTTTTTTTTTTTTTTTTTTTTCAANTTTTCAATTTTCATTGGTTTTTTTGATGTTGCTAAGATGATATTGGGAGCTTTTATATATTGCGTTTCATGGGAATCCTCGCCTTTTGAAATAGTGTTTGTTTTCTGCCTTGAGATTAGCGGAAATTATATTGGGAGAGGAAGAGAAATTTTTTGTTCTTTTTGATGTTTTTGTTGCTAAATGCTGGTATTTTTAAATAGAGGTTGTGGATGAGACCAAAGGAAAATTTGGTGTGTTGAGGAAACTGAACCACAAGCTTGCTGAAATTATCCTGGGCACGGTATTGCAGCTAATTCTAGGGTCGCCGACGATGCTTCCAGCGGTGGATGTGCAAAGCTGGTTGCGCGTCGGTGGGGCCGTGGCTGTAGCGGTCAGACTCGGCTGGAGCTCGCTGCTTGAATTAATTTGATTTGAAATTCTGAATTAGATAAATATGTATTCAAATTTTCGGCCATATTTATCTCATCAACGCATTTCATATATATTGATATGGTCATATGGAATCCTAAATTTGAACCGATCATTTGCCAACAATACCAACTACTATTTTTTTCCTTCCAAAATATAGTTGTTGTTTTTTTTATTTATTATTCAGTTTTCTATTTAGAAATGATTGGTTGCTTTCGATATTTGTAGGGCGAAGATGAAGTAACTGAGGAAGACAAAAACGACGAAAATGAATTTAGCGATGAACAAAAAAAGGACGAGCAAGATGACAGTTGAAGGAGGCTGAATGATTTTTGTGTTTCAATGATTTTAAGAGTTTATCTTTTATTTCCAACAAATAACTTTTGGGGTTTTATGAGCTTAAAAGTGTTGAGTTGTTTTTTTTTTCTTTTTTTTAATAACACCCGTACCTGGTAAAATTTATGTTGGGTCAAATAAAATGAGCAGCTACAAGAAACAGTCATGTAGTTGTTTCTATCTTGTGATGGATATTTTTATGTTTTATTGATGTGCATGTTTGTGGCTTTGTTAGGTAGTGGCTCTATTAGGTAGTACTTCATATTTTGGGTGGATATGCAATATAATGATCGATATAAATTTTGATGTAATACATTATGGTCTTATATATCATATCAATTGGAAGAATAATAGTTCTTACATAATTATTTGTCATTCATTGTATCAAAAAATTATGTTAAAGTAGTTTTATCTTTTTTTTTTTAAGGGAAAGTTAGTATAGAAGTATATTCTTTTATCAGTTCTTTTGGGGGAATATTACAAAAACATGTTATTTATATGCTAGCAAGTGAAATATTAGGTTGAACATATATAGAATGGTGGATAGAATCTTATCTATTAATATATAAAGAGACAACTATATTTATTTGAAATAGTAACTAAAAAACAACAAAAAAATATTTGGTTCCCGCTTAAAATATTTACTAAATTGAGTAATATTTTTTCTCAAAATTTGAATAATCTCGCCTATGTGATATCATTATTTTTTTGAAAATTTAAAATATAAACATGGGTTCAGTTTGGAAACAAAATCTGGCCTAATTTTGTATCTATCGGATATATTTATGCTATTTATTTTATTGAACTCCGGTTATCTTGCGAATCAAAAAGTCTGAATTTTTGTTAATTTAAACTATCAGTTTACTGCAAACGTTTTTGTTTTCTTGCCAATAAAAAATACGAATTTAGTTAATTTCAACAAAAGATTACCAATTATAAAAAAATACGATTTTGTCAATAATAAAATACAACTACACATATGAAACTCTTTTTCTTTTTGTTCATTTTTGGTTCATAACCACAATAAAAACTAATTTTAAACCTATTTATCATTGAAGTCCATAAGGTAGCACAATTTAAGTACACTACAGTTAGAAAAGTAAATTTTATTTGCATATAAAATATTAGATTTTGATTTTTTTTCAATACAAATGTTAAAATCTAATTCCATAAGGTAGCACAATTTAGGTCTTTTTAAAGCTCCAAATGATAGCAATTTGACATTATTATACTTCTAAAACAGTACCCTAGGCGTAGTAAAACTCATTTGCACGATTTTCATACCTAATTAACAATTCGACAATTGAAATTTTTTTATAATTTCACCAACTAAAAATCAGATATGTAATAATTCTAAAATAAGTATAATTTGAATATATTGAAAATCGTCTTGATAGTAATTTGACGAAAATAAAATTCTAAAAGAAAAGTCCACTACAGTTAGGAAAGTCAATTTCATTTGCAAAAAGAAAAATGATCACGATTCTTCTCATATTAATAGTAATTTGACAAAACTAAAATTCTAAAAAAAAAAGTCCACTACAGTTAGGAAAATAAATTTCATTTGCATATAAAATATTAGATTTCAATTTTTTTTCAATATAAATGCTAAAATCTAATTCCATAAGGTAGCACAATTTAAGTCTACTACAGTTAG